CAGCAAGCACTTATTGGGCTTCCTCTCCTTCAGAGCCCTCCTCCTGTGGATGTCGGGTACTGACAGGCAGAGCAGGCTCAGCTGCCTCCACACACAGGCTCCGAGCCAGTCTTATCCTCACAGCCAAACTCCTCATTTGGGTCAGGAAAATGCAGAGATATTGAAGCAGGAGAATCTTTGATTCCATCCTGTTCAAAATTACTGCACCCCTGTGGAGTGCCAAACCTAGGGATACAACAGGGCGCAAAGGAGACAACACTTGCCTTCAGGGAGATTGTGCTCTGGATGGGGAGGAAGAACACGAGCGAAAAATCACAGCACTTCATTACAAACCAGAATTAGTGCTTCAAAGGAAATATGGGAGTGGCCTTACCAGAGGTGAGTAAGGTGTCTGTAGATTGAGATGTGAAGGATGAACAGGTGTTGGCTCGGTGAAGTGGGGCAGAGGGAAGTGCAAAGGCCCTGTGGCAGGAGGGGTAGTATGAGTATTTGAGGAGCTGAAGGAATGGTAACATACATGGAGTAGTAAACAGGGCAGTGCTGAGAATGTGCCTGGTATATTCACCTGCTCCACCATCTTTGTGCTCCTCCCTCCCTTCTGACTCATCTCCACAGACCTCCAAATGTCCTAGAACACCTTGTTCTTCCTTAGGATATTTGGGAGTAAATTAAAAGATCCGTGCCTCCAGGCCAGTACTGTTCATTTACTGGAAAAACCAGTGCTTCGTGCACACTGCTAGGTGCAGGGACTGTGCATTCCCGAGGTCCCTAGCTCTTCCTTCAGGAAGCCTTCTTCACTTCCTCCCTAGGAGCTCTTAAACCTTCCGGGCAGCTTGGGGCAGCACTGTTGTCTCAGTAACATGGACATGAACAGTCCCTGACCAGTGGAGATTCTGACAGTGGGCAGATGCTGTCCCAAGCCTGACCCCACTTTCTTAGGGTTCCTGGAAGGCTGGTGGGGCAGACCCGTGTATTCTGTGGAAGCAAGCTGGTCATCTTTGCACACACCCTTTGCTGATCCCTGGGAAGGGCCCATAGGGTGGCAGATGACCCCATGCCTGAAATGCCTTTTAACTTGGAGAGTGGAGGTTACACACATACCTTCAATGGTGGAAGGTGAAGCCCACCCAGACCTCTACCCTCTGATGTTGCTTCTGACTTTGGACCACCTTTTAGCTTCCTGCTCCTCACCCTCAGAACCTCGCCTCAGACCTTTCTGGGCCTTTGTCCACCTCTGTGGGTCTGTGTGCTTTTCCCCTGGGCTGGATCAGGCTACCAGCTGCCGTGGGCTTGGCTGTTGGGCCCTTCCAGCTCTAGGACCTTCCTTCTAGGATGACCTCTCTCCAGGCATCTCCTTCCTTCTATTCCAGGCCTCTGATTGTCTCATTCTGAGAGGAAGACATAAAAACGTCACCAAGTTTCAGGGAGAAAACTGAGGCTTGGGATTCAGAAAAATGTGATGGGGGAACTGTGGGTGGCACCTTGTTGGTTTCACTGCAGACATGGGGCAGATGATGATGAGAAGCTTTATTCCAAAGGAGTCTGGGTAAGACATTGGTCCATCAAATAGGAAGTCAATTGGATGAATGGGTGAATAGATGGATTATAGCTTTGTTTCAGTTTGGATGTGGCTAGGACGGCATCAAGGAGTTCTGATGTGGCACAGCGGGATAAGCACTGGACTACTAATCACCAAGTCAGTGGTTTAAACCCATCAGCTGCTCCTTGGAAACCCCATACAGCGTCACTATGAATCGCAAAGGACTCGATGACACCTAAGAGGACGCTTAACAGGAAGGCATCCAAATCCCGGGAAAGCTTGTAGCACCACCTAGTGGATGTCCTGTAAACAACCATCAAAACCTTGAAAAGGAATGGGCTGTGTTTAAACCCATTGCCATAGAGTTGATTTCAATTCATAACCACCCTACAGAACAGAGTAGAACTGCCTGTACTCTTTATGGGGTAGTCCTGATGTGGTGATAATGCGCTGGACCGCAAGGTTGGTTTGAACAGCAAGATTGGTGGTTTAAATTCCACCAGCCACTCCTCAGAAACCCTATACAGGGTCACTATGAGTCAGAACCGATTCAACAGCACTTAACAACAACAACAACAATCTTGATGGGAGCAGATTGCCACATTGATCTCTTAAGTAAGCAGCTGGTAGATTTGAACAGCTGTCCTTTTGGTTAGCAGTTGAGTGCTTACCCACTGCGTCACTAGGACTCCTGGCCATATTTGCTGCTGTTAAGTGCTATTGAGTCAGTTCTGACTCATAGGGACTCTGATAGGGTTTTCAAGGAGGACTGGTATGCCTGGCGGGGATTTTAACCATGGCAATGAAATGATTTACGATAGGATGAATGTAAAGCTAATGTTCTCCCATGTAAACTATGATATAATTCACAATAAAACGTTAAAAAAAAGGAGCGACTGGTGGGTCTGAACCACCAACCTTGTGGTTAGCAAACTAGTGCCAATCCTACAGGATCACACCAGGACTCCTGGTCATGTTTGTTGTTGTTGTTAAGTTCTGTCAAGTCAGTTCCTACTCCATTTCTCGACTATTGCTAAGTGTAACTACAGGAACTGTGTGGCAGATACTTTTATCCCCACTTTACCAGTGGTGGCGGTGATTGTGTGCCGTGGAGTCGATTCCGACTCATAGCGACCCTGTACAGGGTTTCCAAGGCTGTAAATCTTTACGGGAGCAGAAAGTCTCATCTTTCTTCCGCGGAACAGCTGGTAGTTTCAAACTGCTGACCTTGAGGTTCGCAGCCCGATTTGTAACCACTACCAGTAGGGAAGCCAAAGCTCTCAGATGTGTACTTTGCCAGGCCCCATAGCTGCCCCATGATAGCAGCAGGAATTGCATCGAGATCATTCTTTCCAGCCAGCACCCTGCATTTCTCTCAAACTTTCAAGGCACACACACTTCCCTCTAGCCTGCACGCCTTTCCCAGGTCCTCCAATTCAAACCCTGCTTTTGATTAATTTAAGCAATTTGATCTGATGACTGCTGTGGGCTGGCTCCAGGCTGGGCCTGACCTTCTCAGATCCACTCAGCCGAGCCCTGGCCTGGGTCTTGGCCCCAAGCCCTGGCCTCATGGGTTGGATATTGGTGCCCAGCATCACCCTGTCTGCCTGCCTGGGGGGGCAGTGTCTTTCTGCTGTACCAGTTACCAGTTGCTACCTGAATCAACAGCGCTTAACAACAGTAGCAGTCACGTTTATGCTGGTTCATGGTGACCCCGTATGTCAGAGTAGAACTGTGCTCGTTTTCACTGGCTTGTTTTTCAGTAGATTGCCAGACCTTTCTTTCAAGCACCTCTGCATGGACTGAACCCTCCAACCTTTTGCTTCTTAGCAGCTGAGGGTGTGAACCGCTTGCACCATTCAGGAACTCCTCTTTTTTGCAAAGTGTCTCTAAAAGATATTCAGACTGTGCCCCTCTCTGTCTACTCCATCACCTTCCCTAGCCCACAAACCTTTACCTGTCAGTGACTTGTCCTAGCACCGTTGGCTCCTGACAAACCCATCTACTTGCCATTGTCTCCCATCCTGCATGGTTTTCTTATGCCTCTCTCCTGCCCCTCACTCACCTCCCTAATTCCCGGTGGGGCCCCTTATAGAATTGTTTTCCCTGAATTGTACCTTGATGAATTGCTATTATGAGAAATAGATGCTTGAAACACATTTATTACAAGATTGTAGTGTCATTGATTGGTTCACACTGTCCTTTTTTATAAAGAGCTCTGGGAAAATTCTCGTCACTTCTCAGTGTCTAAAACAGCTGTGCTCCTGAGGAATGGGCCTTTCAAAAGTCCATCCATTGGGCACTTGGATAATTGGCCTGGGTCCCTGCACATCAACTCTTGGAAAGCCCCAGACTTGCTGTGTGTGTGTGGTTAGTGCCCACCATTGATTTTCTTGCTTCTTTCGCCCACTTTCCATTCCTGCTCTCGTGCTGTTTTATAAATCCCTGTAAGCCACCTTAAAGCCTTCCTGGAACAAGATTGGGTAAAGATCAATAAATTAATCAATCAAAGTAAACCACCTTCCTTGCAGGGTTGTGGTGAGGATTAAATGGAATAATGGGAGCAAGTTGCTGGCCCAGAGATTCTTTCAGGGATTGACCAAAAGGCGAGCTTCTGGTTTCTGGCAGGCCCCCACTGGGTGGGGGTCCTCATTACTCATGGCCTTCTACCTTCTAGACCACCACCCTCCCTGCTCTGTTTCTCTCACCACCCTGCTTCCTGTGGATCAAGGAAGATGTACACCTGGTTTCTCCCTATGCCTCCTCTCAGAACTATCCTGTCGGCAGTAAAGCTCCCTCCTCCCTCAAAGCCACTAGAGAACCAAGCAGCTCACTTGACTTGTCTTGGAACTGTCCACATATGAGGGATAGAGTGTCAAGAGAGGGAGGGAGGTGGGTCCGTTTGGTGGGGAGATTTTAGGAATATGTTTTTGACACATGGGGAAACCGAGACCTAAAGAAATGGAGGGAAGTGATGTACCAACTAGCACTCTAAGCATGTCTCTCTCTTCAGTAAAGGCCCCTCGCTGCTGCATGGGGAGGTGGGGGTGGGGTGGGCAGGAATAGTTACCTGGAATCAAAACACCGTTTGGAATGGAAGGCTGTCAGTTTGGAGGAGAGAACTGTGCTGCAGGCTTGGGATGTGTCTTTTCCAGAAGAGAGCTTGCGAGCAGGGGTGGGGGTGATGGGATGAAAATGCACAGTCACTCCATAGGGGTCTGGGCTGGGTTTCTGCAGGCTGCCTATAGTGGGGTGAGGTCGGCTCCCACTGAGGGGAGTGGTCGCTCTGCCAGGCTCTTAACTTTCCTCATGCCAAGTGGCTACTGTCCCAGGCACTGCGATGAAGCAGTGATCAGTCTGGGCACTGTCCAGTTCACCTAACCCTCCTAATTCATCATGGCCTTTGGAGGAATCTCTCTTCTGACCAGTGGTTTTTCTCCCTCTGGCTGTATCCTTACAGGGACCTGAGTGAGAACATCATCCAGGCCATCCCGAGAAAAGCCTTCCGAGGAGCTACAGACCTAAAAAATCTGTGAGTCCAGGCCTGGGAGCAAGATGGAGGTCCCTGGTAGCATCTCCATGGGTCTCTTTGAGCCAATTGGTCCAGGCAACTTGGGAGCTGACCTAGGTTCAGAGACCTCAGGTGCCAGTGTGGTCTTCAGAATGATCTGAGGTCAGAGGAAATGAGCAGCACATCCAGCCCACTGCAGGCATGCTTCTGTGTGAGAGCCAGTAAGCTCAAAAGGAACTCTGGGGACCAGATCAAAGGGAGTATAGTGAGCTGTGGGGAGTGGATGATGTGCACAATCCATTTAAAGGTGAAGTCTCCATGCCTCTGTCCTCCAACACACTTATCTGCACCTGGAGAGCTGGGTGGGTTTGACTCTTACACATTGTATAATCTGCTGCAATCAGTGAACTTCACTGAGTCTTGATAGATTGTCTTGTAAAATGGGGATAATAATGTCTACCTCACAAGGTAGTTATGAGCTCTAAATGAGATTACAAAAGAAGTATAATTTGTAAAGGGTTTATATAATTGAATGGTTTATTCTGATTATTCAAATCTATTCTAGTGCAGGTTTACCATCTGCCCAAAATCTGCCTACAGCAGGGATGACAAATGCCTGACATACTTGTCAATTTCCCCCAATGTCATGCTTGTGGCAGACATTGGTAATCGATCACAGCATTCTTTCCCACAGGGCTCAAAGCACAAATTTAATCTTATTCTACCAGTGGATCTGACTTGCCATTCAGCTGAAATCTGTTTGTCAGCACGGCTGCCACCAATCCCATGTTATCCTTTCTCTCATTTGTCAACTGTCAGCACCCTTTAAGTAGTTTCCTAAGTGTGTGTGAAGGGGACAGAGGGGTGCCTGTTCCCCAAGAACAGAGGAATATGACTTTTACTTAACATCTGTGGTTTTGCGAAGAATAAGAAAGAATTTAAGCCTTTATTAATATGTAATATTTGGATCAACAAATATATAACTGCAAACGACTGGAGGCATGGCTCTTTTCCTTTTTTCCCTGAGGTAATGTTTGATCACAATGCTTGGAGACCCCTGCTCTATGCAGTGTGCTCTCCTCTCTAGCATTTTCTTTTGCTTCACAGACAGCTGGACAAGAACCAGGTCAGCTGCATTGAGGAAGGGGCTTTCCGGGCTCTTCGGGGGCTGGAGGTGCTGTAAGTAACATATGCAGGAGGGAGGGGCAGGTGAGCACAGCCAACACAGGAGTTAGGGGCTGGGAGCAGCACAGGAGGCAGGAGACTTGGAAGGGGGTGCAACGCTGTTATTTTCTGCTCTCCTCAAATCTTTGCCAAGGATGGAGAACACATACATGGCAGATGTAATCCAGTTTTAACCTGCTTACAGTGAAGCCCAGGGCGAGCGACTGCCTTCCAGCCTTCCCCTTCTGCTTGTCTAAACCCCACTCCTTGTTTAAAGCCAGCCCAAGCCTGGGACATATCCACCCTTCCTCCTTGCTCCATCTCCCCTACCCCACCAGATATAGCATCTCCTGGGCAGTTAGCTAGTGATTGCCGCCCAGCTCAGTGCAGGTCCCACAGGGTGGGGCTGTGTCTCTCACTCTTGGGTGTTGCCCAGTTGGGGGTCTGGTGCCTACACCAAACCTTGAGAGTGACCAAGGGCTAGGTTACGGGGGTCCCCCTTTGTTAGCACAGACCTTGTCCCTCTGCTGGGCAGTTGCTAACTGACTGGTTTCTTCCCTTTAGGACCCTGAACAACAACAACATCACCACCATCCCTGTATCCAGCTTCAATCACATGCCCAAGCTCCGAACCTTGTGAGTCAGGCCCAGGGGCTGCTGGGAGAGGAGGCACAGGCTTCATTCTCCTCTGCACTCCCAGAAGCCAGCCTAGGGTTGGGAGCTTTTGGGTACACCTGTTCCTCCTTGGGGTAGAGGAGATGAAAATAGAATTTATAACTTTATAAAAACAACAACACTGTTTTTGTGTTTGAAACTGAGTTCTGTGATTTGGTCCCGAGAACATCTGTGAGCTCAGTAAAATGTGTTGGTGTTTCTGGACACTCTGGTCAAAGGCGTGCCCCAGAGCATGCTGGGAGGGGAAGAACTTTCATGTTGCTGTGGGTAATCCACCAGCTGGATACAGCTGAGTTGTGCAGTTGGCTTCCGCCAACTGTGTTTGGGCTGAATACAGCATCCCGGGTCTCGGCTTCCTGCTGGGGTGGGGGTGGGGGGGCTCCTACTGTTTGGTCTGAGGGGCCCAGTTGGGTTGTGAGCCTCCCTGTCCTTCTGCAGCCGCCTGCACTCCAACCACCTGTTCTGTGACTGCCACCTGGCCTGGCTCTCGCAGTGGCTGAGGCAGCGGCCAACCATCGGGCTGTTCACCCAGTGCTCAGGCCCCGCCAGCCTGCGGGGTCTGAACGTGGCTGAGGTCCAGAAGAGTGAGTTCAGCTGTTCAGGTGGGTGCAGACCCCTGCTGGGGCCATTGGTCCACCATCACCTCCTGTCCCCCACCCATCACCACTGCCCCCACTCGTCTCCTCCTGGCCCTGCCCATCATCTCTTGTTCCCACTGTTGTTTCCACATATCACTTTTTAAAGCCATTATTTTCCCCCTCCTGCCTACCACCACATCCTTCACCCATGTCCTCTTCTGTCCCATTCCTTTACTCTTCCTGCTTCGACCCAGTGTCTCCTCCTGTTTCCTCTGTCTCTCACCAATTGGGATTGAGTCTCACTCCTACCACCTCCTAGTCCTACCCCTTGCCTCCTCCCATTGCATCACCCCCACTACCATGAAAAGACATTGAGTGGATGTTCTTTCCTCCCACTGGAGTTGAGGCAACTCCAGAGACCACGTCCCCTTCATCTTCCAACTGGGGTCCTGCAGTAAGCTCTGAATGGTCTCCTCACCTCCACCTGACCCCTCAGATATCACACTGCAGCCAGAGATCTAAAACAGTCCCCAGGTCTGGCCTGTCACTGCTGCTTCACACTATCCTGGGAGGAAGCTCTGCAAGGTCCGCCATGGTCAGCCCTGCCTCCCAGCCTCCCAGCCTCCCTGCCTCTCAGCCTCCCTGCCTCCCAGCCTCCCAGCCTCCCTGCCTCCCTGCCTTCCAGCCTCCCAGCCTCCCTGCCTCCCTGCCTCCTTGCCTCCCAGCCTCCCAGCCTCGCCCCGCTGTCCCTTCCTGGAGCAGGAACCTTCTCACAGGCAATTTCTTGGCTAGTGTACTCTGTCCTCCTTGCCACCTGCCAACTTTGCCTCAACCTGCAGATCCCAGCTTAAATGTTGCTCCAAGGAGGCCTTCTCTGACCCCTGGGCCGGGCAAGGGAGCCAGGTCTCTGTGCCTCAAACACCTTCCTCGCTCCCTGCACTTGCCCTTTGTGACACTCAGTTGGGACAGCTCAGGGACCTGCTTACCAACTCCAAGTCTCTCATGGTTAGAAGTCTGGCCACGAAGTGGCTCTTGTTGCTGTCACCTGTGAGTACCTTTCTCCCCACAAACCATGAGCACCACGAGAACATATCCTCAGCGCTTTGTACATGCTCAGCACATAGTAGATGATCAAGAAATGTTTGTTGAATGAATAAACAGTCCTCAGACTCAAGATGTGTATTTAGGGGCTGATCATTGCTCCCACACCTGTGGACGCCAAGCCGTCAGCCACACAGAGCTCTGGAGGGGCAGTAGCTCCTGAACTTGGCCTCCTTCCCTCAGTGTGACGCTCTGGGTATGGCTGTCACCTTTGCCATAGTTGTAACAGGTGCCCGAGACTGAGCACCGAAGGGCTCAGAGCTGCTGGAACAAGAGGCCTAGGAGGCGCCCAGGCCAGTGGAGACAGGCTCAGGAAACAGTGAGCTTGTAGAGACATCTTGGTGGAAACCAGGACCTACTACGCCAGAACAGGCATTCAGAGAAGATGGACCCCTTTGGTGTTCAACCTCTTCTTATTCTCCATGGAACCCTTTCTGTCAAGGAAAGTTATATATTCCACCCTATTCCTCCACAATGTATCAGACACGAGCAGCGTGGCTCTGGAGGAAGCACCCACCTTCTTGCTTGCTCCTGCCCCACAGGCAGGCTTCAGGACTTCAGTGGCGTAGTCCTCATCCAAAAGGCAGCATGGTGCTGTCTGGAACCAGGTTTACTTCCTGTCTCTGTTCCTCACAAGGCTTTTACATCCCTAGGCCTCAGTTTTCTCATCTACAAAATGGGATCATTACACTTGGTAAAGTGAAGGACCGGCAAAAAAGAGGAAGACTGTGTGGATTGGCACAGTGCCAGCAGCAATGGGCTCAAGTGTAACAACAATTGTGAGGATGGCACAGGACCAGGCAGGGTTTCTTTCTGTTGTGCATGGGGTCACTATGAGTTGGAACTGACTCGATGGCACCTAATGACATCAACAAGGCTTCAGTTTTCTTATCTGCAAAATGGGGTTAATGATAGTATTTCCCCCCTTGAATCTGAGTAAAAATTAACCAGATTCATTTGTATAGGGAGCGTGGAACATTCAGGCAGTGACTATTGGGCAGATACTCCTTGAGTACCTTCTAGAACCAAGCACTGTGTCATACTTGAATGCATAGATCCAACTCCAGCTCAGCTTTTTATTCCAACAACGAGGAGTCTGGGGATGGAGAGGGAAAGGCCTCCTGCCAGCTATTAGCTGTGTGCATTTATACAAATTAACTAAGTTCTGGATTTCATTAATGCTGCAAAATGGCAGCATTCAGCCTTATGCAGTAGGACCTAAATGAAATACTGCATGCACCACACTTATCACAGTCCATGGCACGGAGTAACCCAAACCCAAACTTGTTGTTGTTGAGTTGATTCTGACTCTTAGCAACCCTAACAGAGTAAAACTGCCCCATAGGGTTCCCAAAGCTGGAAATGGCTAGGGAAGCTTACTATGGCGTCCTTTCCTGTGGCGCAGCTGGAAAGTTCAAAGGACCCAGAGTAGCTGCTCGGTAAGTGTGGTCATTCTCATGGTCATATGATCAAATGATGATCATATGATCCAAGTGAACCTTGGGATTCGAGGCTAGGACTTCTAAGCATCTGAAGCACATTCGTGTGCAGCGTTATCCTACTGTTGAACTCAGAAAATAGCTAAGGAACACCTGTTGTGTGCTAGGCAAAGGAGTCCTCGTAGCACTAGGGTGTTGGGCTTTTAACTGCAAGGTCGGCAGTTGAAATCCACTAGCTGTCTGCTTCCATAAAGATTTATGACCCTGGCAATCCTATACAGGAATCGACTCAATGGCAGTGGGTTTAGTTTTATTTGTTAGTTTGTTTTTCTTTATCTCACCTTTATTTTATTGTTTAAATGTTTTATTGTTAATTATGTGATAGTTTACATGGGAGAACATTAGCTTTACATTCATCCTATTGTATAGCATTACATTGCCATGGTTACAATCCTTTCCATGCATCATCAACCAACCAAAGGGTATACACTACAAGCCTGCCCTCTGGTCATCAGCACACAGCCCATCTCCCTCTCTGGGTCTTAGAGTCCCCAGCCGCTCCATCTCTCCACGTCTTCATCTCTTCCTCCATCTCTGGCATTACTGGTAGGTTTTTTTCTCTCTGATGTGTCAGGCAACGAGTCCTACTAGCACAGTGGTTAAGGCTTGGCTGCTAACTGAAAGGTTGACAGTTTGAATTCACCAGCTACTCTGCAGGAGCAAGATGCAGCAGCCGGCTTGTGTAAAGATTTCAGCCTTGGAACTCCTCTGTGCAGTTCTACTGCTTCATCCTATAGGGTCACAATGAGCTGGACTCAACTCCGTGGTGGTCAGTTTTGGTTTGGATGTGCCAGACACCCCCAGAGGTGCACCATAGTCTGGACTCTCTTGTTTTGTGCATCCACGTGATCTCCCCTGGTTCATCCCCACTCATCAGTCTGTATCTGCGGACAGGGGTGGTGATGTGGGGTAGCTGGAGTCACACCCCATTATTTCTACAGGCCAGGGGGAGGCAGGACGTGTGCCCACCTGCACCCTCTCTTCCGGCTCCTGCCCACCCATGTGCACATGCAGCAACGGCATCGTGGACTGTCGCGGCAAAGGCCTCACCGCCATCCCCGCCAACCTTCCTGAGACCATGACGGAGATGTGAGAGCAGGGCAGGGTGGGGACGTGGGCCCCTCTGACATGCGGATCCAGTGCCCCTGACCCGGTCTCTTGGTGACAAATGGAAATACGGTTTTCCCAGGGTTGGGATCTCCAGAGGGCAGAAGGCAGGGTCCGATGTGTCCCTCTGTCCCACCCTGCTGGGCTCTGAGCGATCCCGCCAGCATCAGCTCTGAATGTTGGCATCCTTCATGGCCCCCTTAGCCCAGAGGCCTTCCATCCTGGTGCTCAAATCAAGACACTCCTTTTCTCCAGACTCATCCCAGGGCAAGATGGGAGCTGGGGCAGGAGAGGAGGGCTGGTAACCCAGCAGGGAATGAACAGCAGGGTTGGGGTGAATCTGAGCCTGGGGCTTCCTCTATTCTGCTTGCAGTCGACTGGAGCTCAATGGGATCAAGTCCATCCCCCCGGGCGCCTTTTCTCCCTACCGGAAACTGCGGAGGATGTGAGTGGGAGTGCCTGTTATCCCCTGGGAGACACACGGGGCAGGAGAAAGAGTCTGGACCTGGGTTGAGGCTCAACTCTACCTCCAATACCAGAGTGGCCCTGGGCCAGCTGTCCCCTCTCCCCCCCCAGATCGCCCTCATTGAAGGAGGGATGGCATGGTGACCCTCATAGGCTTATTGTGAGGCCTAAGTGAGAAGCCAAATCCCATCTGGCCAGGGAGCAGAGCTGATCTCCAGCTTCCCAACTGCAGCACTCAGGAACACTGGCCACGAGGCTTTTTGAGTGGATTGGGGAGCTGGCCCTTCCGTCCTTCCTTGTCTAACTTCAGATAAATTCTTGCCCTAGCATGGTGTCCAGGCGGTCACCATAGGGTTCAGCCATCCCCTCTCCTGCTCACTTTGCAGAGACCTGAGCAACAACCAGATTGCTGAGATAGCACCTGACGCCTTCCAGGGCCTCCGCTCCCTGAACTCACTGTGAGTACTGCCCAGGATCTTAGGTGGTCCAGGACGGTCCCCTAGGAGGCTGACCTCCAGTGCATAGTCACTGTGCCAGACCCCGCCTCTCATCATGTCCCTACCTGGCTGGGAGGAGAGGAAGGTATCAAGGGCTGAAAGCATGGAAGAGACAGGCAGAGCCAGTGTCCAGGGCAACTCTGATGGTCCTCCCATCAACAGAGGGTCTTCCCAGCATTCTTCATAGTTGTCTTCTGACCACAATCCAGCCTTCACACCAGCCCGTCCTGTCCACAGACCCAGCATTCCATACTCCTGAGCCTTTTTCTCCACCTCCATCCAGTATTCTCCTCCCTCAGAGAGCCACTGGGGATCTGTCACTCAACAAAGCATAGCACAGCAGTGAAAATTCATCTTGGCAGCATTTCATCATCTCTGTATTTCCAGTAACCCAAGCTTACACCCCAGGTGCATCTTGCTCTCTGAGGTCCCACTGCGCTTTGCAGTGGCACACTCATGGTGCCCTGGTGGCCCTGTGGTTAGTGAGCTCCCTGAAGGTAGCTTGTTGTTTTCACCTGCCCATTCCCTGCCCTGGGCACAAGTTTGGTACCCAGTCAGGGTCCTGCAAAGTGGACGAGGCTGGAAGTCCCTCTTGGAGAGTGTAGGAGATCCCAGCTTGCCTTGGACACACACCCCCTTGTCCTGGATAGGGTCCACGGCAGTGGATGGGGCCACTACATTGCACATATCCAGGCAATATTCACTGGTTGTACAGTGCACAGCATACACAGTTGTGGTGGTGGTGGTTATGTGCTGTGGAGTCAGTTCCAACCCATAGCGACCCTGTACAGGGTTTCCAAGGCTGCAAATCTATGGGAGCAGAAAGCCTCATCTTTCTCTCGCGGAACAGCTGATAGTTTCGAACTGCTGACCTTGCAGTTCGCAGCCCGATTCGTAACCACTACGCTACCAGAGCTCCTTGTAGTAGATGGCTATTACTGCTGGCTGAGATCAAATCCTAGGGCTCTCCCTCTGAGAAGTGAACCAGGTGGCTGGAACCCATATGAATGGTCATGACCACCCTTCACAGTCTAGGAACCTGCCTGCTCAGGTCGTGAGTAGATGCCGTCATTGTGCACCTCTGCTTCAGCTCTTCTCCAGGCCCCTCCCCACATGCAGCTTGAGAATGTGTGTCTGATCACGTCTTAACAGCTTCATGCTGCTGGTGGGTAAAACCCAGGCTACTGTTCATTTGCTGGTTCCACTCCAACTGTCTGGGCCATTTCAGTTCTCCACATGAGCTGGCCTGAACAGCACTTGGGGCTTTGGCTGTGCTGTGCCTTCCCACCCCCAGGAATAACCTCAGAGCCATGTCTGAAGACACAACACGTCAGATTTTACTCAGATTGAAGGTTTACAGGGGCGGCTAGTGGGGGCTGGTTATGATATTGGGACTAGAACACACCCCTCCAAGTCCCTTGATGCTCTCTCTGTGTCTCTGGAAATCAGAAAATCCACCAGGTGGCATCATAAAAACTCAGGCCGGCCTATGAGTCTTTTAAAAACTTTTGCTTGTTTATTTATATAACTTATGCTCAATGGTTATGAATTGGGCTGCGAACTGCAAGGTTAGCAGTTCAAAACTACTAGCTGTTCCACGGGAGAAAGTTGAGACTTTCTGCTCCCGTAAAGATTTACAGCCTCTGAAACCCTGTACAGGGTCGCTATGAGTGGGAACCAACTCCATGGCATATAACCACCACCACCACCATGCTCAATGTGGGGACTCCTAGTGTGGCGCTGTGGGTTAAAGTGCTGGACTCCAAAGTCTGTTTGAACTGCAAGGTCAGCAGTTCAAGCTCACCAGCTGCTCCACCCTACACAGGATTGCTATGGGTCGGAACCGACTTGATGGCACTTAACAACAACAACCACAACACATGCTCAATGTAGAAAACTTTGAAAATACTGAAGTACAACAACAAAACAACCCTTGCAGTTCCCATTCCAGATCTCAGCACAGTGAGCACTTCGTTCCGTCTGTTTCTGTCCTGCAGGGGAAACTCGCTTGATGTGTAGGGGACTACACTGCTCATGCAGACTGCCATTCTAGTTTTCCCTTTAGTTCTCTGAAAAAACGGTACTCATTCCTGCCTGTGGGATTTCCTCCCCTTTGAACAGTATCCTTTGGGATACAGGACCAGGTCAATTTCCCGTGAGGCTCCCCGAAGGGCCCCATGTAGGCTTCTGGGAGCAGAGGGCTGCTGAGACAGCCATGAGGTACCTTTGTGCAAACTAACAAATGTGACCCTTTCTTAAGACACTTTACTGCCACCTGCTGGCAATTTGTTATATAATAAATAAGAACTGTTCAGTTCTGACTCATAGCAATCCTGTATAGGGTTTCCGAGAAGTAACTGGTGGATTTGACCCACCAACCTTTCAGTTAGCAGTCCAGTGTTTATCCTACAGCACCCTACCAGGACTCCAATAAATATAATAAATGTATGTTGTTGTTGCTAAGTGTTGTCTAGTGAGTTCCAACTCGTACATACCTGTATAGGTTTCCCAAGGTTTTAAATCTTTGTGGGAGCAGAAAGTCTCATCTTTCTCTTTCAGAGCAACTGGTGGGCTTCAGCCACTGTGGTTCGCAGTCCAATGCTTCTTCTATGGAACCACATGCTTAATCCCAAATATAATAAATCTATTTATTGGTCAGCTAGAGACTGGTGGAACCTTCAGGTCTGGAAATGAACTCATCCATATGGTTCAATTTTCAGCCAAACAGACAGGTCTCTAAGGGGAATAATAAAATAATGAGGTACACACACCTCAGAACAATCAACCATTTGAGATTAAAAGGTTGTAATAAATATACCAAACCACCCCCCATTGAGTAAACCAATTCATAGCGACCCTGTATAGGGTTTCTAAGGCTGTAAATCTTTATGGGAGCAGAAAGTCTCATTGTTCTCCTGCAGAGCAACTTGTGGGTTAGCAGTCTAGTGCTTATCCTAAAGTGCCACCAAGGCATCTTAGTAAATATATCAAGAAGCTTCCAAAAGATCATGGAAATTGAATTAAAAGATATTAATAATAATAGAATTTTCCCGTAAATTTAAAAAAACCCCACAAAACCCTTCTTTGTTGTGAATTGTGTGGAGGGTTACAAAGCTGAGCAGTTGTTCAACAATTTACTCACAGTTTGTTTCATCTCACTGACTGCAATCCCCACAATGTACTGTCACTGAACCCACTTCCTCATTGTATTTCCTGTTTCCATTCTTCCGGCTTTCTAAACCCTTCCTGCCTTTTGAACTTTGGCCTTGGATAAATGCTGCCTGTTTGATCCCAAATGGTTAATAATTCTAAGGTCTGTGTACGTCCCTAGTATTATTGCTCCCCTAGAGACCTGAGGTTAGCCAGGATCGGGCAGTGTTTCGTTCTGCTGTGCATAAGGTCACTATGAGTCAGTACCGACTCGATGGCACCTAACAACAACAACAGAGACCTATCTATTATTTGACAGAAAATTGAGCCATGGGGAGGAGTTCCTTTCCAGACCAGAAGGGAGACTAAGGGCCCTCGTTTCGAGGGTCGCTCTGGTCTCTATCTGACCAGTAAACCTGGTCTTTATTAAGATTTTGAGTTTTGTTGCACAGTTTCCTCTCACTCTACCCAGGACCTTCTCATGTGTGTTCCCTTTCAGAGCAGTTGGTAGTGGTAACCAGGCACCCTCTTGTCCTTCTGGTCTCAGAGTCGTTTCCATGAACATGTTGAAGCCCCTTTGTACATGTCTGGTGTCTGTTGTATGACTGTTACAGCTTAAAGATGATGTCATTGTGCAATGCACAATCTACAAAGTTGTGCCATGGTCCTGGTGGGCTGTCTCCTAATGTCTTTCTGCTGCCTTCTCTCCAGGGTCCTGTATGGGAACAAGATCACAGACCTCCCCCGGGGCGTGTTTGGAGGCCTGTACACACTACAACTTCTGTAAGAACTAGTCTTCCACTGCCCTTGGGGGTGGGGGGCAGTGGATCAGTGTTCCTTAGACCTCTCAAACAGGCCCTTCAATGGTTTTGGAGTATAGGGACTTGGTTGAGATAGGAGCTTGGAAGAGGGACAGACTCAGTAGGATTTGAGGGGACACAGGGCAAAGAGTAAGGGGAAGTGGGGTCAGAGCTGATTGAAGGTCACCCGAGCTGAGCGGCTGCTGGGCTGGGGCCTGTCTTCCTGAGGAGCTTGGTGTGTCTGGGAACAGGGGACACCCAGGTCCAGCTCAGCCTTCTTGAACCATAAACATTCAGGCAAGGAGTCTCCCCTGGGGCCCAAGAGGTACTGAATCCACATCCCATCTCAGCTGCCCAAGAGACCAGCAAAAATCTGGGAAGGAAAGAGAGGAGCCCCTGAAAATGCCTTTGGGAGGTGCCTTTGCCACTGTACTTTCTGCTGTCCAGGATCCCACAAGGGACATCTCTGGCATTTCCTTGGAGGAGAGAAGAAAGCACACTCAGGTGGTCCCCAGGCACAAAGGAGGCAGTCTGAGTGTTTGGCCTTTCTGTTTGAGGAGGGCCAGATTCCTTATGCCTTGTTTCCAGGGGCTCCTCCCTGAAAAATGCATGTCAGGTGCCCAGGGCACTAGGGTGAGTCCTCTCCTGTGCTCTCCCCTCATCTCCTGACCCTGGCTCTGTCCACAGGCTCCTGAACGCCAACAAGATCAACTGCATCCGGCCAGATGCCTTCCAGGACCTGCAGAATCTCTCTCTGCTCTCCCTGTATGACAACAAGATCCAGAGTCTGGCCAAGGGCACCTTCACGTCCCTGCGGGCCATCCAGACACTGTGAGTACCCTCAAGCCTTCCTCCTGTCTACCATAGGAAGGCCCCAGCAGGTGACTTGGAGAGAGGTAGCAACCTCTAGGTGTCCTGCCCTCGTCTGTGGTACTCACTGAGTATGGCCTCTAGAGAGGAAGGAACACAGGCTCTGGATTCGATCATCCCTGGTTCAAATTCCAGTTTTGACTCTTACTGTCTATGTGGTCTTGGACAAATTAATTAGCGTCTCTCAGCCTCAGTTTACTCATCTGTAAAACAGGATATCATTCCTTCATAGGTATGAGTAAAGGAGATGTTTGTGCAGGGTTTAGCTCATCATAAATGCTTGTTTGATCCCAAATGGTTGATAATTCTAAGGTCTGTGTACCCAACGGAATATGGAAATCATCGGACAATCTCTTTGATATCC